TTAAGTCCTCTGCATGGCTGGAGAGAAGGATTAATGATGAGCTGGGGAAAGGGAAGATGAGGGAAGTCCGCACACAGCAGGGGAATGGGGCCTGAGTGTCAGCCATGGGACCAGCAATCCTGAGTGCCCACTATGTTTGCCTGACACCGCTGGGTGTTTCACACGTTTCTAGTCCATACAGCCACCCACGGAGGCAGTATTACCTCCATTTTACAGATGAGAAAACTGAGGCTCAGGAACAGTTGAATGACAGCCCCAAATCACGCAGCTGGGCAGCAGAAAAGCTGGGGTTCAGACTTAGGCTTATCTGACTTCCAAGCCCAGCAGCGCTCAGACCCACCAGGGAGCTTATTGAAAAGGCAGATGAGATTGTCACACAGTAGGGTGGGGGTGAACGCGGAGATGTGTATTTCCAACAGTCCCCTAAGTATGTCTGATAGCGCCTGGGGACACTGCTGGGATGGATAGGATTTGAACAAGCAAATGAGAGGGTGGGGAAAGTCAGGAGTGGAAGTCAGAAATGGGAAGCGTTAGGGAATGTTAAATTTGGGAGTGGCTGGAGCGCGGGTGGGTGGACTGGTGAGAAGGGGGCGGCATGCTGTGCTGGCTTGGATGTGCTGAAGGTGTGGGTGCTTGCTCTGGCCCTGGACTTGGTTTTCTTTTCCACTTTGAGACCAGGGGTGGCACAGTGGTAAGGCAGCTTCACTGTGACCTTAGGCAAGCCACCTCCCATCTGTGAGCCTCTGTTTCAACTTCTCAAAACACCCTCTCCTGGAATCATAGGGAGGAAAAATTACATCGGGTGCATCAAAAGGCTTGCTGAGTGCAAAGCCAATACAAGATATGAATGTTATCCATGCTCATCAGTAATTCATCAGGGAAGCAGGGTTTCTGTCTTCTCCACTCCCACAGGAAGGCTTCCCGTCTGCAGGGAAGCAGTAAGCCAGGGGAGGGCAGGTGCAGTGGCCTCCCTACGGCTCCTTACAGAAGGGCCTTGGTTCCCTGTGGCCACAGCGGGCGATGGAGTCACAGTTGTTGGGGTCCTGCTTGGGGTGGGGCCATCCCTGGACAGACACCTGCTGGCTCTCGGGAGGGGTGGGTCTTGCCTCTCCCTGGGGCACCTTCCCCACCTCCCTGCCCACCCTGCCACTCGGCTGGCTGCACGGCTCCAGCCTGACCTTCCCAGCCTCTCCTCGTGTTGGTTTTAGCCAATCCCTGAAGAAGACAAAGACGCCACCTCTATCAAAAAGCGAAAAACCAGGTAAGAGTCCACATAGCAGGTCACTGGGGGCTCAGAGAGGCCCACCATGGCTAGATTCCTCAGGGGATACAAGGACCCCCTGGAGATGGAGCCCTGCCCAAAGAAGCGGCTCATTTCATCCATCCATCCATCCATCCACTCATTCGTTCAGCAGATCCTTAATCAGTACCTAAGCGCTAGCTTCTGGGATCACTGGGGGAGAATCTGGAGACGAGTTCCTGCTGCCGTGGAGCTTCATCCTAGGGAAGGAGTGCAGACCACAAAGACACCTGAGGCAGATGGGTGCCCTACGGAAAATGACAGGGCGATGGCAGAAGCAGGAGGACTGGCAGGGTGGGGAGAGGGCCCCTTGAGCCGAAAGGCAGGAAGGATCCAGCCCTCTCTGGGTCAAGGGAGAGCCCGCGAGCAGGGCTTCCACCTGCCAGGTGTGTTGGTGAACGAGCAGGCAGGCCAGGGTGGCCGGAGCCTTGTGGGTTGGGGACAGTGGTAAGACATGAGATAGATGGACAGAGCCGGCCTGTGGGAAAGGCCAGGCATGTGGTCTCATAAAGAGAGCATGGGGTTCACTGGAGGGTTACCAGCAGGGTGTGGTGGGACCCCTCTGGCTGCTGTGTAGAGAATGGACTGTGGGGTCCCAGAGGGGATGAGGGAGACCAGGGAGGAGGGGGTACCTTAGACCAGAGCGGGGGTGGGGGGGAGGGGAAGGAAGGTTGGAGGGGAGAGGAGAGGACAGGTATTCTCGATGTACACTGTTCTCCCCCACTAGACTGTAAAGGGTCCTGTGTGCCGGGCAGCGTGTCTGACACAGAGTAGGTACTGCTCAGACATCTGTGACCTGGATGTAGAAGAGGGCGGTGAGGCTGGGGGAAGGGAGCCAACCCCTCCCAGGTTGCCAGGAGAGCCCAAGCAAAAGCCTGGCCTGACCCAGGCACACACATATCCACCAGGGCCTGGTGAGGAGAAGGGGTCTCTCCAGATCTCCTGGGCAGCTCCCAGGTAGGGACCTGGCCCCTCAAACTCTCCTGCCTGCTGTGTTCCACGCCCCCCCCAGAGAACCCTGGGAAAGCACAACTTCTTCGCGTGCACTCCAGCCAGAACCCAGAAGAGAAGGCGGCAAAGCCAAAGGTAGAGTGTTGAGGAGTTCACACCACTTTGCCCACCTTGCTCAAGAAGAGCCCCTGAGTTCAAAGATTCGGCCTGCACCTCCTCAACAGCAGTACCGGTTTTCCTATCACATGGAGCCTATTAAAATACTGTCTTCCCCTTAAGAGGACAGTTCCGCTCTCCTACCAGGAGGTCTGTGCTTGGGTAGTTTGCTCCAGGAGGGGGGATGAGCTGTACCAAACCATCCCAACTCCCTTGGAGAAAGCCTCCCCACGTGGGGCTTCCCTGGTTCTGTTAGGTTCCAGAGAACTGAAGGGCAGGTGGTAGATGGGGCTCTGCTCATCCTTGAGCCAAGTCTCCCAGGGTTCTGGGTAGATAAGAGCAGAGGGTGGGAACTCACAGGCCACTTTCCAACACTGATCCATACCAATTATTGAGTCCCTACCAGGCACTGAGGCAGATACTAGCTAATTCATATAGAACACTATATGAATTGTTGTACATATTTTATATAGGGTACTATGTTTGATGTTCCCCAAAGCTCTATGAGGTAGAGAATCACTCCCATTCTATAGATGAATAAACTGAGTGAGGCTCAGAAAGGTGAATTAGCTTGTCCAAGGCCACACAGTAAGTGACAACCAGGATCCAAATGCAACATGTCTGGATCTAGAATCCCTGCTCCCATCTGCTGTATTCTGCTGCCTTACGAACAGCAACCCTCACCAAAAGTTGTGGTCACATTCCTGAAGAGCATATGGTTAGGAAAATGGCGGCTGGCAAGACCAAGAAGGAAAGGGACATTATATAAATGTGACCCAGATGCAACTGGGGTGTCTCTATCCTTTAAGATATAGAGAAGACGGCTTTGACCCTCTGGGAAGTCCAATGTCTTCCTTGAGATTTCTGCAAATTGCTTGGGATGGGGTGGGGAGGTCGGCATTGAGTATTTACAATTTCATCATCACCTATGGCTCTGAGCTCCTACTTCTACTGACTTAGTTCAGTCCACGGATTGTGGCTCCACTCTCTACTTCCAGCACTGCCCCCATTCCCCCACGTCAGTTCATATGACCCCTTTCACACAAAACTTGTGCACGGCAGGCTTCAATCAAGATCAGGGGCTGGGGCTTCCCTGGTGGCGCAGTGGTTGAGAGTCCGCCTGCTGATGCAGGGGACACAGGTTTGTGCCCTGGTCCGGGAAGATCCCACATGCCGCGGAGCAACTAAGCTCGTGTGCCACAACTACTGAGCCTGTGCTCTAGAGCCCGTGAGCCACAACTACTGAGCCCACGTGCTGCAGCTACTGAAGCCCACGCGCCTAGAGCCCGTGCTCCGCAACAAGAGAAGCCACTGCAATGAGAAGCCCGCGCACCGCAACGAAGAGTAGCCCCCACTCGCCGCAACTAGAGAAAGCCCGTGCACAGCAACGAAGACCCAACACAGCCAAAAATAAATAAATAAATAAAATTTATAAAAACAAAAACAACAACCATGCCCTGGGAATTCCCTGGCTGTCCAGTGGTTAGGGCTCCACGCTTCCACTGCAGGGGCACAGGTTAGATCCCTGGTCAGGGAACTAGGACCCCGCATGCCGCATGGTGCGGTCAAAAAACACAAAAAACCAAACCAAAACAAAAACCTATGCCCCTTGCCATCTCACTCAATTTCCCCTGCCCTGTCCTCAACCCTGCCACCAGTTTGCCCCCAGAAAGCCCACACTATTTTAATTTTTTCCAATTTTTTCCTTGTAAAATATACATAACACAAAATTAACCATTTAAACCACTTTGAAATGTACACATCAGTGTCATTAACTACATGAACATTGTTTGCAACTATTACCACCACGCACCTCCAGAACTCTCTTCATTTTGCAAAGCTGAAACTCTGAAACCCATTAATAATTTCCCATTCCCCCTCTTCCCAGTCCCTGGCATTCCACTTTCTGTCTCTGAATCTGACAACTCTAGGTCCACCATATTAGTGGAATCCTACAGTCGTACACATTATCCTTCTGTATCTGGCTTACGTCGCTTAGCGTGATGTCCTCAAGGCTCATCCATGTTGTAGCATGGCTCAGAATATCCTCGCACATTTACTTTTTTAATCGATGCAGCAGTTCAGCTCCTCCAGCCTCTGTTCCCAAACCCTCCAGCTCCACCTTGCCGTCTAACCTCATTTAGGGGCTGAGCTGAACAGGAGGACTGTTCATGGAATAGGGTCCTTGCCCCTGGGCAGCTGTGGTTACAAGAGTATATCCCTACTCCATTATGAATAACTTTTTGAAATCCAGACAGTGAAAAATTCTAAAAGCTATCTGTTTCCAAAATATACCATACTTCTTGGCACAAAAGCCCTGGGTCCTTAGGTAATCCTTCTACCCCTCCTCTAATTTTTCAGGAAAAATTGTCATGAGATTAATATCTGCCCCTGCAGATTCTCATACTTTCTTACTCCCTGGAGCGTACCTCTCTTTTAAGTTCCTTAGCCCATCCTTCAAATCTATTTATTTTGCTTTCTCCATCTCGTGTTTCCTTTTGCAACTCGCTGCAAAATGCTTGTGTCACTGCCTGGCTTTTGCACCCATTGTCACTGTATTGAAAGACAAGATGTTTCAGGCCTGGCTTCTTACCTGTGTATTTTGCGGGTAGATTGTGAACAGATGAGATCTTTCTCAGCAGCTCTGCAGTCTGTTAGGAGAAAGATAAGGGGACTGAGTTGAATCATGTGCACATAGAAACACTGTGGAAATAAACATGTGCTATGCAAATGGGAATGGGAAACTACCATATTGCAAAAACACAGATGGCTAACCTATGGTTGCATGGGATGATCTGACCTCATTCAATGCTCACAGCCACCCGTAAAGTAGGTCTTATAGGTGGAAAACCCAAGGCTCAGAGCAGAAGCAACATCAAAATTTACACAGCCCATAAGCAGTGGATTCAAACTCAAGGCTGTGGGCTCCTCTGTCAGTGCCCTTTACTTTCTGCCAGCTGCCATCTTGCAGGATCACCCCAAGTCCCACTTGTCTCCAGACAGAGAAGTGGACCCTTCTCTCACTTCCAGCCACTTCACCCTCTCTTCCTTCTGCTTCCTCTTCTTCCGTCCCTTAGGTATGGAGTTCGGCAGGGTTTGCTGTGACTCCTTGGCCCTCTTTGAAGTCCTCCAACAGGCCTGCATCCTTTCTCCATGTTTTAAGGGAGTCACTGCTGAACCCCAGGGGGACAGCCAGCTGGGAGAATTGGAAGGTTCCAGACATCTCACAAAGCACTGGCCAGAGTCGTCACTGGCCTTCCTGGAAATGCAAGTGGTGTCTGGCCTGCCTTCCTCGTCACCTGCACAGGGCCATCTTGACCTCAGGGCCATCTTGACCTCAGATCCTGTGCAGGTTGGAGGCCAGGCTGGTTACTGGGCTGTGGCCTGTAAGCTCTGCTTGGCTTTGCAGAGTTTCTGTGCCCTGCTTAGCAGCACTCCCTGTCTGGGCCCCCTTTTGGGCAACAAGGTGACTTCTGCTGGGTGTCAGGACCCCATGACTACTCCTGAGTCACTTCTAAATTTTCCTTGGCTCAGGCCCTGGAATTTCTCTTCTCACTCCCCTCTGTTTCTCTGCCTGCCTGAAGCATGAGGACAGATTTTCCCTTCCAATCTTCTCTCCTATGGCTCTAGGTCCTCCTTGGGATCCAGTCTCCTTAGTCACTGTGAAAGCCATTGTTGGGTTTGCCCAGATGCCCCCCACCCCCTTCCAGGTGGGCCTGAAACTTAGCTCCGTCCAACCAGAGTGCCCCATTCCTGGGCACAGTGACTGGTTCAAGGATTGGATAAGCATGTGACCCAAACCAGGCCAACCAGAGTCCACCCTTGGGATTGTTTTGTTGGCTGGGAAGGAATGTTGGCTTTTGAGATGATGCCATCATCGGTCATCATTGCTCCAAGAGACAAAGCTGTGGATTCAGTCACACCTGATGGTCCTGATTCTTCCCCATTATATGAGACAATAAAATTATTTCTTAATCGAAGTGTTGATTTTTATGCACTTTTAACATAAACCTGACTATTTTAACCATTGTTAAGCATATAGTTCAGTGATATTAAATACATGCATATTGTTGGGGTACCATCACCACCATCCATCCATAGAACCCTTTTCATCTTGCAGAACTGAAACTCTATACCCATCAAACCATAACTCCCCACTCCCTCCTGCCCCCAGCCCCTGGCAACCACCCTTCTACTTTCTGTCTCTATGGATTTGACTGTTCTAGGTATGTCATATAAGTAGAATCATACAATATTTGTCATTTTGTGACTAGCTTACTTCACTTACCATAGAGTCCTCAAGATTCATCCATGTTGTAGCACGTGCCAGAATGTTCTTCCTTTTTTAGGCCGAATAATATTCCCTCGTATGTACATCCTCCATTTTGTTTATCCGTTCATCCATCGGTGAACATTTGGGTTGTTTTGCTTTTTGGCTATTGTGGATAATGCTGCTAGGAAATTGAGTGTACAGAAGAAGTTGATTTTTATGTTACATGTGACCAAAGGGATCCTGGATAATCTAAGGTCACACAGCTAGTAAGCAGAGGCCCCAGAACTAGCATACAGGCTCATCAGACTCCAGAGCCACTGACAAGAGCCCTTGGTTCCCAAACTTGAACCATTCTCATACCCCCGTCATGAACATGTTACAACTGTTCACCACCTGTACTATATTCCTTCATATTTCTTTAAATTTACCTTTTTACTTTTTTTCACTTAACTATAGTTTTGACCTCAGCGATAATATCCCTGGCATCATGGTTTGGAGGTGTTATTTATAAAAGTTTCTCATACACACAAAAATAAATAGAAATAGAAATGTTTAAAATGATAATGTTCCTCCGTGTGCCCCCTAAGTTCAACTTGTACCACCAGAGTACACTTTGCACACCTCGGGAAACGTTGACTAGAACAGATAGCAGTTTGAAGATGAGAGAACCACGCTTGGGACCCTTGGCTAAAGGACACACGCGGGGGTCAGCTTCTCCATGCCCAGTTTGCTGGCTCAACAGTCACCCCACTGACCGCCCTCCACTTGATGGGTGAGATGAGAATAGGCTGGAGACCCCTTTTCAGCAAAGGCAGGAGAAGGTGGTACCCTCCCTCCTGGAGCCTTAGGAGCTCACTGTTGGGACATCCCTCAGACGCTCCCAAGCCCCCTTCCCAGCCCATGGCAAACCCTCATTGTAGCACCCATGACATGGCGTCCAACTTCAGGTTGGACAAGGACAGTAACAGAGATCCCACCACCTTTCCTGACTGCTCACACCTTAGTTCTGTCCCCAGAGCCACAGAGATCAGGTCTTTCCTTCTTCCTCTGGCTTTCTAATTTTGCCCTTGTCAGAACTCTTTTAGGTCTCAAACCACGCCTCCTTTCAAATATTTATACCTTAAAAAAAAATTATTTTTGGTCTGATTGCATTAGCTAATACTTCCAGAGAATAATGTTAATTAATAACTATGATAGTGGGCATTTTAATAGTATTTAATGGGAATGCCTTTCATTTTTCACCATTGAGCATGAGTTGACTTTGTTTACATATCAAATATATATAAACTGAAATATTCGCATATTCGTAAAGTTAGGTCAAGAAGTATCCTTCAGCTCTTACGTGTTTAATCCACGCTGGAACCTTATGAGGTAGATACTATCGTTAAAGACAATTTTACAGATAAGGAGCTGGAAAAAAAGAAGGAACTTGCTCAAGGTCGTATAAGCAATAGGAAACCGATTCAGGATTCAAATCTTGCAGCTTGAATGGGCAGAGCCCATCCGCTTAACCCCATTCTAACTCCCCATAATAACTCCACATGGTAGATATTAGCACAATTTTATAGACGAGAATTCAGAAGAGAGGTTAAGTGATTCGTCCAAGGTCAAACAGCTGACAAGTACATCCTTCTCACAGGTCAACAGGGTCGTCTTAGAGTTTATATCTACTGCACATTGGCTTAATTTCTTCTGCGTGCTGTGTGATTTATTTCCCTCAAATCTGTCTTCCATTTCACTGTCTTGTGTTTCTATCATGTCAGCTATACCCTTGATATTATTCTACTACATTCATTAATTCTGTAGTGGTATTATTTTTGTCCTTGTTTCTTTTCTTAGTCCTTTTCAACTCATTCTATTGCCTTGTCTGAACTTCAATCTCTTGTTTCAGAGTTCAAGTTGTCTTTAATTTCTTGAGAATGCAAAACAGTTCTGTTTTTTTAAAATTTATTTGTTTTACTTGTTTATTTTTGGCTGCATCAGGTCTTTGTTGCTGTGCGCGGGCTTACTCTAGTTGTGGTATGCGGGCTTTCGTTGCAGTGGCTTCTCTTGTTGCAGAGCACGGGTTCTAGGCGCCCGGGCTTCAGGAGTTGTGGCTCCTGGGCTCTGGAACGCAAGCTCAGTAGTTGTGGCGCATGGGCTTAGTTGCTCCGTGGCATGTGGGATCTTCCTGGAGCAGGGCTCGAACCCGTGTCCCCTGCATTGGCAGGTGGATTCTTAACCCCTGTGCCACCAGGGAAGCCCCCAAACAGTTCTTATCTAATATTTTCTTCTGTTCCTGGGTGTATCTTCTTCCAGAAATGTGCATGTCATCTTTCTTTGCCATGTTCTCCTTCCTCTGTCCCACTCCATCCTCTTCTCCTGTGGAGTTTTTGCACAGGTACCCTGTCAGTTTCTTCTGGTTTCGCTTACGTTGGATCTGGAGTACGTCTTTCCAAGCCCCTTATTTGCACAGGTGGTGACTTCTTGATTCTCCTCTTTGTTTACCTGGGCCCTGTGTGCACCCTCCTCTCTGAACATTAGCTTGAGGTCTGACTGTCATTGGTTTATATTCTTCCTGTTTCCCTCTTCAGCTTTCTGGGACAGAGGGGTTGGAGAAAACTGGGTCCTAGGAAGCCAGCAAACCAACTGCGTCTCTGTTCTCTTCATCTGTAACTATTAAAAAATAAACTTTTAACTTTAAAACTGTGTTAGGTTTACAGAAAAACTGTGAAAAAACAGAGTATCCATATATCCTACATCCAGCTTCTCCCACTCTTTTTTCTTTTTAATGTAACAGCTTCACTGAGATCTAATTCACACACTGTGAAGTCCACCTATTTCAAGTGTACAATTCAATAGTGTTTAGTATTCACAGAGTTGTGCAACACAGTCAATTCCAGAACATTTTCGTTACTCCAAAAAGAAACTCCAATACACGTTGGCAGTCACTCTATTTCCCTAAAAGCTCCCCCTTGCCTATGCGGCCACTAAACTATTTTCTCTCTCCATGGATTTGCCTATTCTGGCCTTTTCATATAAATGGAATCATTTAATATGTGATTTTGTGACTGGCCTCTTTCACTCAGCCTAACATTTCCAAGGATCATCCATGTTGTCGCATGCGTCAGTACTTCATTCCTTTATGGCTGAATAATATTGCATTGTACGGATATACCACATTTTGTCTATCCATTTACCAGTTGATGGACATTTGGGTGGTTTCTATCTTTTGGCAATTGTGAATAGCACTGCTATGAACATTCATGGACAAGCTTTTTGTGTACATATGTTTTCAATTATTTGGGGTCTCTACCTAGGAGTAGAATTGCTGGGTCCTATGATAACTGTGTTAAACTTTTTGAGGAATGGCCAGGCTGTTTTCCAAAGCAACTGCAACATTTTATATTCCTACCAGCAGTGTATAAGGATTTGAATTCCTCAACATCCTGTCAATACTTGTTATTGTCTTCTTTTTTTAATTATAAGACTTTTAGTTTAATTTTATTTTTGTTTTTAACATCTTTATTGGAGTATAATTACTTTACAATGGTGTGTTAGTTTCTGCTTTATAACAAAGTGAATCAGTTATACATATACATATGTTCCCATATCTCTTAATTCTTGCATCTCCCTCCCTCCCACCCTCCCTATCGCACCCCTCTAGGTGGTCACACACCAGCGAGCTGATATCCCTGTGCCATGCGGCTGCTTCCCACTAGATGTCTATTTTACATTGGGTAGTGTACATATGTCCACGCCACTCTCTCACTTTGTCACAGCTTACCCTTCCCCCTCCCCATCCTCAAGTCCATTTTCTAGTAGGTCTGTGTGTTTATTCCCATCTTGCCCCTAGGTTCTTCATGACATTTTTTTTTTTCTTAGATGCCATATATATGTGTTAGCATACGGTATTTGTTTTTCTCTTTCTGACTTACTTCACTTTGTATGACAGACACTAGGTCCATCCACCTCACTACAAATAACTCAATTCCGTTTCTTTTTATGGCTGAGTAATATTCCATTGTATATATGTGACACATCTTCTTTATCCATTCATCTGTTGATGGACACTTAGGTTGCTTCCATGTCCTGGCTATTGTAAATAGAGCTGCAATGAACATTTTGGTACATGACTCTTTTTGAATTATCGTTTTCTCAGGGTATATGCCCAGTAGGGGGATTGCTGGGTCGTATGGTAGTTCTATTTGTAGTTTTTAAGGAACCTCCATACTGTTCTCCATAGTGGCTGTATCAATTTACATTCCCACCAAGAGTACAAGAGTGTTCCCTTTTCTCCACACCCTCTCCAGCATTTATTGTTTCTAGATTTTTTGATGATGGCCATTCTGACCGGTGTGAGATATCTCACTGTAGTTTTGATTTGCATTTCTCTGATGATTAATGATGTTGAGCATTCTTTCATGTGTTTGTTGGCAATCTGTATATCTTTTTTGGAGAAATGTCTATTTAGGTCTTCTGCCCATTTTTGGAATGGGTTGTTTGTTTTTTTGAAACTGAGCTGCATGAGCTGCTTGTAAATTTTGGAGATTAATCCTTTGTCAGTTGCTTCATTTGCAAATTTTTTTTCCCATTCAGAGGGTTGTCTTGTGGTCTTGTTTATGGCTTCCTTTGCTGTGCAAAAGCTTTTAAGTTTCAAGAGGTCCCATTTGTTTAATTTTGTTTTTATTTCCATTTCTCTAGGAGGTCGGTCAAAAAGGATCTTGCTGTGATTTATGTCATAGAGTGTTCTGCCTATGTTTTCTTCTAAGAGTTTGATAGTGTCTGGCCTTACATCTAGGTCTTTAATCCATTTTGAGTTTATTTTTGTGTATGGTATTAGGAAGTGTTCTAATTTCATACTTTTACATGTACCTGTCCAGTTTTCCCAGCGCCACTTATTGAAGAGGCTGTCTTTTCTCCACTGTATATTCTTGCCTCCTTTATCAAAGATAAGGTGACCATATGTGCATGGGTTTATCTCTGGGCTTTCTATCCTGTTCCATTGATCTATATTTCTGTGTTTGTGCCACTACCATACTGTCTTGATTACTGTAGCTTTGTAGTA